CTCCAAGAATTTTTAAATTTCCTTCTCGATTTCTTCTTTGACCCATTCATTGTTTAGGAACATATTGTTTAATTTTCCTGTATTCATATGTTTTCTAGTGTCCCTTTTGTTATTGATTTCTAGTTTTATTCCATTGTGGTCAGAGAAGGTAGTTGATAAGATTTCAATTTTTTAAAATTTGTTGAGACTTGTTTTGTGACCTAACATAAGGTCTATTCTAGAGAATGTTCCATGTGCTGCTGAGAAGAATGTGTATTCTGTAGCTGTTGGATAAAATGTTCTATAAATTCCATTAGTTCAGGTCAGCCTATGGTAGATATTAATTCTGATGTTTCTTGGTTAATTTTCTGTCTATATGATCTGTCTTTTGCTGAAAGTGGGGTGTTAAAGTCCTCAACACTTATTGTGTTGGAGTCAGTCTCTCCTGTTAGGTCCAATAGAAATTGCTTTATATGACTGGGTGCTACAGAGTTAGATGCATATATATTCAGAATTGTTATATCCTCTTGTTGAATCGATCCCTTTATCATTATATAATGACCTTCCTTACTTTTTTTTTTTTGGCTTTCTGTGACTTGGAAGTCTATTTTATCTGTTATAACTGCTCCTGCTCTTTTTTGGTTTCCATTTGCTTGAAATATCTTTTTCCATCTCTTCACCTTCATCTGGTACATATCTTTATTGATTAAGCGAGTTTCTTATAGGCATCATTTTGTTGGTTCTTGCTTTATAATCCATTCAGCCACTCTGTGTCCTTTGATTGGGGCATTTAATCTGTTTACATTTAGAGGAGTTATTGATATATATGAACTCATTATTGCCATTTTGCTTTTTTTTCTCATTGATTGTGATTTTTTTCTCATTTTTTCCTTTTTGCTGGTCTTATTGCCTTCCTTTGTGGTTGAATGGTTTGCTCTAGCCTTACATTTTTCTTTCTTGCTATTTGTTTTTACTATGTCTCTTCTAAGTTTTTGTGCTACAGTTACCACAAGGCTTACCCTTAGGGTGTTCCTCCTTGGGTTGAATTTCACTGGTGACCTCTGAGCTTCTTATAGCCAGATGTTATCATCTTTTTCCATACATGGGAAATATTCAGCCATTATTTTCTTGAATATGCTTTCTATATTTCTTCCTTTTTCCTGTCCTTTGGGTATGCCAATTATGCAGAAGTTGTTTTGCATAAGAGAGTCCCATATTTGCTGTATTTCTGTTTCAATTTTTCTTTTTCTTTTTTTCTCTTTGCTCCTCTAATTGGATAATTTCATGTGTTTTATCTTTGAGTTCACCGATTCTTTCCTCTGTTTGACCAAGTCTGGTGTTGGAGCTTTCTACTAAGTTTTTCAATTCAGATAATATATTCTTTATTTCTGGAATTTCTTTGTTTTTTTAATTGATTCTATTCCTTTGTCAAGTTTCTCATTCTGCTCCTGAATTATTTTCCAGATATCAGTTAATCTTCTATCCATATTTTCTTGTGACTCTCTGAACAACTTTAAGAAGGTTATTCTGAATTCTCTGTCAAACATTTCATAGATATACTATTCTTCTGCATCCATTGCTGGTGCTTTGTTTGTTTCATTTGGTGGCAACATATTTCTCTGTTTTCTCAATCTCTGTTTCCTCATGTTGATGCCTAGACATTTGAGGAGACTGCTATTTGCTGCTGATTTTCTGGGGAAGGATTTTTGTGAGAATTGTTAATTACCTCCTGTTCTAGGCTATGTGGAAATTCTGGCCTGGAATGGAGTCTTTCCTGCAGATTGAGCGCCCTGCAGTTCTACTGCCCTGATTGGTTCCAATGAGACCATCTGTCCATGCTGCACCCAATGTTCCCCCTGGTGGGCCAGAATTTCTCTTTCACTCCAGCTGCTTCCTGTGGGGCAGGCTGTGTATGCATCCCTTGTGATAACTCACCAGCCTCTGGCAGCTCCCCTCTCCAGTCAGTTGTGGCTATCTGTTCCTACATGGGCCATGGGGAATCCTGCAAGTGGTCTTTATGGCCTGTGGGCTGACATGATGCACTCCAAAGCCCTCCTTTCCCTGGAGACTACAAGCAGGTTTATGCACAGGGTGCCACTATGGCTTTTTCCTGCTTAACAGCTAGTCCCCACCTCTATACTGGGCTGGCTCAGAACAGTAGGCGCCATCCCTATACCCTCTCAGCTCTTGCCCTTGCACAAACTCCGTGGGTCTCTCCTCCTCCTCCCCCAGCTCCAGCAGTTCAAGGTTGGCAGTCTTTGCTTTTTAATAGATGTAAGTGGGTTACCTGTGAGAAGGTGCAATGCTGGGAATTGTCTATTCAGCCATCTTGGTGACATCACTCTCTCACCCCCAACACTTTCTCTATCCCATCTTTCCCAACTAACTACTTGGTGGGCTCCATAAAATCTACCTGTTGAGTCCTCTGCTCTTCTTTATTCCAAGCTTGCTTTTTAAATTCAGTTTCTTTTTTTCAGGTAGCTTGTTATTGCTAAATGAATTTGGGCATTATTCAGCATGTCAACCAAACTTCTACAAAAGCAATGAATTATATAATTTATTGGGCATGGTGTGTCTAAATGAAAGTTAAAGTTTTTAGCAATAAAATATAAATTATTTCACTTCCTGCCACACAATGAGAAAGCTGGCTTTTATACAGCAACTAGCAACACATAAGCCATCTTGGATATATCCTAAATTGGGTTGCCAGAACATAGACTAATAATTTTTGGAGTATCAAACTGAGTAAAAATCTTTTTAAAATATAGATCATTGTGGGAGAATTTGGCCTTTGTAAATCTTCATTACAATCGCATAATACTTTTATATAGCTTAATACACATTATAACTCATCTGAACAAGGATGAAACATGGCAGATTAACCAAGGAAGACAGAAGAAAGGAGTCTGTGTGGGAAACTAGAAGTTTCTTCCAAGCTTCTCTCTTCCTATCGGTGTCAAGTTAGCAATAAGAACTGTAAACAGTTTTCTTGTGACAAAATTCAGTCTTACAATTCATTTTGTGCAACCTAAATGGAACTTTGCAAAGCTGACCTTCCTTGAATTCTTCCTACATCTAACAGGCACCTAATGTAGTAGATTGAATGTCTCCCCTAAACTCACTGAAGCTTGAATTGTGTCCCCCAGGTTTTATGTATTAGAAACTTAGCCCCCCACTATGACTGTTAAGAAGGTGGGAAATCCTATTATGGTAATTGAAAGATAGCGCCTTGAAGAGGGGATTAGATTGTAGGACCGTGCCATAGTGAATGGATTAATGATGGTGGTCATGGGCGTAGTGTGGAGGGCTTTAAAAGGACAGTGAATGAGGAGGTTAGTGCCTCTCTGCTCCGCCATTTCACAAAGTGATACACTGCCCTCAATGTCACCACCATCAAGACCCTCACCAGATGTGTTCCTTGGACTTTGGACCTCCTCGCCTCTGCAACTGTAAGCAATAAATTTCATTTTCTTATAAACCACCCAGTTCCAAGTATTTTGTTATATGCAACAAAAACAAACTAATACACCTACCATTTAGTTGGCTAGTTGGGGTTGCCTATCCCTAAAATCATCCTAAAATGCAATTGGTAAATATACTAGTGGATAGAGGGCTCATTTTTCCTGTTTCTTTAGGTTTAACCTTCCTTAAGGAGTCATTTACTAAGCACCTAACCTACAATTGAGGGTGCACGGTCCACACAGGATGATGGTGCAGAAGATTATGGGACTATTTTCTGTCTTTTTCTCCCTTCACTGGAACCTGTCAGATAACTAATACTTCCTTATGGAACTATCAGAACAGCTTTTTATAAGTAATGCCTTTTAAAAGTACTATTTTTGATGAAATATCATTCATTAGGGTTAAATAAAAGATGAGCTATGAGGATCAACTTTTGGTTTTATACTTAGAGATACGACAAAAATGGAGGCAAGGAAGCAGGAACCAGTCATGATTCATGACAAATGGTAGGGAAGGAGTGGGACACAATACAGTAAACATGCACAAAGAAAGCAGGAAGGAAAATGTAACTGAAAATAACTAGCTGAAGAGTTAATGAATACATTTGAGCCCCTCAGAAGGCACAAGGATCAAAATAAAATATCCATTCTAGAAGGAGTCCTCTAGACTGCTGTTGTGAAGACTGGACATTTGAGAACAGAAACAAGCTGAGAGTGGTCATGCTGCAAGAAGGCAGAAGGTGCCTTCTGGGTGCTCATTATCCCTGATGAGTTTTACTTTAGAGTGTATATGCTTAAGAGCTTGTAGTAGTAACTAGTGGAAATACACAATAGCAATCCCCACTCACTCCTTCAAGTGGCCTGAAGAACAGGAATGAGGAAATAACCGAGAGGGAGCACAGTGAATCACAGCTACCAATGTGTCTAGTGTCTAGGAGATAATGTGTGGGTGAAGGGCGTAGGAGAAAAGAATGGAGAAGAACAAGTGGCTCTTCCGTCAGCCACAGAGAAAGGGCCACAACTGATCCAGGAGGAAAGTTTGTCTTAAACTGGAGGGAACCACATGCATACCAATAGCAAGAGTCTTCCAGGGAATTTCTAAGAGGAAGGAAACTGCTAACACCCAGGTTTGAACAGAATAAAGAGCTCCCCCTTCAGGGACTGTGGGCTTATTAGCACAAAGTGTCTCCCTTTGGGGAAGTCAAGTCTCTGCTCCCTCCCTTGCGTGCAAGCTTCCCAAGGAGAGGCCCTGGCACTTGCATAGGCAACAGAAAATCTTGCCCACACAAATTTTGTCCACACTAAGCCTGACACTTATTCTAGACCAAGAGGAAGGTGCTGAGGAGCAGGACCTCAGAACTTGATTCTTACAACTAGAGGGAGAAAAACTCCAGTACATTGACTTAAACAGTCGGATATTACCTCTTATCCAGACTGGAATATACAGTCATGTGTATTTTTGTCTTTGGAACAGGTGGTTTGATATGCAAATAAAGTAATAAGTGTCAGAGCTGTATCCTAGCAGTAGCTACTTTGCAAACGTTACCATGGCACCAATTCAACAGTGTTCTTAGAGGCAGCCACACCTCAGCACGATCTTTCTAACTTGGGACAGCAAAATTCAAATGAACTGATAGACACAAACTGCAAAAGAGTCCTAAACCTATACAGGAGGTGAATCTTTACAGCACAATTGCCCTCCAAAGCTACTTGAAACAGGGCATAGGACTTAAAGGAGAAAAAGAAGGAAATGGACTATCTCCTATAACACCTGGAATGTGATCCAAGCCTGGAGACAAAATGATGGTAATATAACTGCTAACAATTTTTTTTTAGCTGCTAACAGATTGTGTACAGATTGTGAAGGGCAAACTCCATTCTCCAATTACTCCAGTGCAAACTGTGCTTTAACAGTACTCACTAAATTCTAGTTGGGTGAAACGAGAACAGATTGTCCTCATGGTACAGTTCACTTATGTTAAACTAAGGAAGGCTGTCCTCCCATGGCCCCAGTCCAAGGGCCACTCACAGCCATATGCAAAGAGCCCTCCAGCAGGCTGTGTTCTCCACATCTCTGGTTCTCACTGCTAGTAGGTCTGCCCTACAGAGGGCAACATGTATTTCCCAAGCACAGACAAAGCAGAAAGAAAAGGACTAGGTGGTAGGGACACAAACTGCTGGGGAAACAAGTATTAACCACCCTGACTTGTGAACCAATCATGGTTGCTGAGGTAGGCCGTAGGCTAAACAAAACACCTCTCTGCCTGGTTAGGGGACAATGAGAGCACAGATACCAAAAATTAACAGTAGAATATAGTCTGTGATCAGTGACAAATTGATAGAATAAGCCATAAATTCTATAACAGTTCAAAGGCAGCAAAGTTTTTTCCAGCTTCTTCTTCAGATGAGGATGATCAAAGAACAAGCCCATGGAGACCCTTTGAAAACTGAAGACGTCACTAATGGGGAACCACAGTTGGTTGGCACTGAAAAGTCATCAGCAAAAATGAGACTCCAGAGCTCTCTCCGTTATTTATCAAGGCCACTGGTCCTCAAGATCTTCTTAAAGAAATAATGATGTATCATTTCTGGCTAAAATAGCCATAGGAGAGGGGGTGCAAAGGAAAGAGTGCTTAGAAAAGCAATTAGAAGTTTCTATCTTGCTGCCTCTAAAAAGACACAAAGACATTTGCTTCTTAAAAGGGCAATTATGAGATGATTATTTATAGTTAACTCTATATACATATCTCTTTTTTAAAAAGGCAGAAAAGGGCCTCTTGGTACTGTGCACATAACATTTTAGTCAAATCAATCTGTAAATTTTCTACGGGGGTGTTGAAACCGTAATGTGAATAGTAACCTGGATGTCAGGTGTGCCACCCAGTGGTCGACCACATTGAGGGCATAGTATTCAAAAGAATGAGAATTGGGTTTGTTTTCAGCAAATTTTGACAGTCAGAGAGATCCAAACCAAAGAGTAAGACTGACAGAGGAGAAGATCCAGGGAGAAAACAATGCTCAGGATAAAGCAGGAAATGCAGTCAGGTTCCAAGAGAGATGTCCATTGTCAAGGGTTAAATTCAGCTCCCTGGAGGAAAAGCTATTAAAAGGACTAGGAAGCCTCAGGACAGGAATTCAGTTGCATCAGGAAAATATAGTATGAAGGAGGAAACTGAAGCAAACACCCAATCCTACAGATTAAGATGACATGGCAGAGGTTAGGAGAAATCTAGAATCTGGTTGGTATGTGGTACCGGAGTTAGTGTAGGGATATTAGCCATTAGGATAACGCTGGCATGAGGAAACCCACACTCCCTCTACAGCTGGACTGAGGCTCTTAAAATATTTTCTGCCCAGGACAGGATTAGCATAGGAACTCTGCAGTTTTCAGCCTGGAGATCAAGCTGTATCAAATATAGCAATGACTGAGCTGATCTTGGTTGAGGAAGACAGAATTTGGTCAAAGTACTTCCTTATGAGAATCCATAATAAATATTTGTGATATGATAAATGAGAATTTGAAAAGTAAAAAATATATTTTGTTGCAATGGTCAGTTTACCTCATTTAAATGTTCTGCCTTATCTGATTTGCTGTCTGGACAAAGTTAAATGTAAAAAACGAAACCACAAATACTAAAAGAAAATATGAGGACTACTTAATTGCACTTTGAGGGGGAAGGCTTTTCTAAATATAATAGATAAAAATCATACAGGTAAAGCATGGACCACAGAAAAATGTAAAATTTGGAGCAATTAAAATATCATCAGGATAATTAAAAGGCTCTATTAATATCTGCAAAAAATATTACAAAGTTAATACGACAAGTATTTGATACCTAAAGAGCTCTGAAAATCAATAAGGAAAACCACAAACAAAAAATAGGTAAGGGATCAAATACGATTCACAGAAGAATAAATACTATAGACCAATAAGCGTGTGAAAAGTGTTCAACCTCACTAGAAATAGAAAAGGTACACACTATAACGACAAACAGATACCAGTGCTCACTACTCAAATTGGCAAATAGGATGATAAACACTGGGAGAGAAGGTGATAATACTGGTACACCTTCGTAGGAAGCAATTTGACCAAGTTTGACCTCATACTATGACTTCTGGTAATCTAATCTAATATGAACAATTTATTTATAGAAATATTCATCAAAATATTATTTATAATAACTAAAAGAGGCAAGAACTTGAATGTTATATAATAAAATACTAATTAGCCATGAATATTGTGTTTTTTGAAGAATTTTTAATAACAGGAAAATGCTCGTGACACAATACTAAGTGAAAAAGCAAGGTATAAAACGTGATTTTATTTATATTATAGATAATATACATATATAGCAAAAGGACTGGAGAGAATAGACCTGTTATCAGTGATGAGAATATAAACTGATACAAACTGGTATGAGTTTTTATTTTCTCCTTTATGAATTGGTATTTTAAAAAATATTCTATAAGAAACATAATACTTGTATAATAAAAAGTTATTTTAAAATGTTTAAAAACTTTATTATAATGCCCTAGGTAGCTGCTTGGGAACAATGATAACTGAAAGAATATTTTTTAAAGGAAAAATCATTACTCAAAGATCTCAGCTTTTAGGGTTTAACATCCCAGAAACTATTAATTTGAAAGATTCTAAAGAACTATATTTGCTTTCTATAATAGTAATTTTTCAAAAATCCTCTAAGACACACCCATGGGAAGTCAAGCTCTCACATGTCAGTGAATGGATATCCATGAATCAAAGAGTACTCAAGTGGCACTTCTACAAGAAGTCTCTACCATTAAGCAAAACAGACTCCATGATCCTATTCTCAAAAGGATAAAATCTCCAAATAATTGAGAATGATGTTTAAAAATAGCTGATTTTACATGCAGACACACTTAAAACCTCTGTACAATATATTAGACACTAACATGTTCAGAGAAGAGACAAAGGAAAAACATGAACAAAATGCAAAACCACACTTATTTCTTTGGACTTTCATAAACAGGAATCAACTAGCTAACCCTGGGATATGTAATATTACTACTAAGAGCTAATATTTATTGAGTCCTTACTACATGTTAGGAACATAGTAGAGCATTTTATATTTTTTCTATCATTTAATCCCCAAAATGATCTTATAAATTAGGTATTATTATTATCTTCATTTTACAGACAAGGAAGCTGTGGCTCTAAGATGTTAAATAACTTGCCACAAGCCACTAAGCTGATAAATGGCAGAGCCCAGATTTGAAACAAGGCAGTCTGTTTCTAGAACTTGCACTGTTAACCCATTTGCTCTACTGACTTGGGATCTATGAAACAAGTAAAGTTGTATTACGCTTTTCTCTTTTGTCTTCTCCCTACCCTCCAGGAGCTTCATTAAAGGAAAATGAAACCTGACCTTTCTTTTTTTTTTTTCCTTTTTGTCTTTTTTACTGACCGGTAACGGGATCGCAACCCTCGGTGTTGCGCCCGCACCGCGCTCAGCCAGTGAGCAGGAACCGGTCTCCACATGGGATCCGAACCCTCAGTGGGAGCGCCACCGCACTCCCAAGCGGTGCACTCTCCCGTGCGCCACCGGGCCGGCCCGAATCCTGACCTTTCTAATCTATGCATATATATCAGTATCTTTTAGAATCAAAGATAGGGCCTGTTAGTTCAGTTGGTTAGAGCATGGTGCTGATAACACCAAGGTCCAGGGTTCAATCCCTGTACCTGCTAGCCAAAAAAAAAAAAAAAAAAGAAGAAAAAAAAAAGAATCAAAGTTGCTACTGTAGTTATTATACTACCTCCTTTAAAGAAAGGTATGGCTTTATAAATTAAAGCATTGTTGTCAGTTTTTCTTCACTGGTTTTGTGTATAATTTCTCTTCCTTGCTTAGGTGTGCAGCTAGAAGACAATAAAACTAGCAATGGAGCTCTTATATGAGGAATACCTAGCAAATCGTGGAACAATAGTAAGACCTTCTTACTGGCCAAGCTTCTCTCTAGATTGCTCTAACTGTCCTTACCATATTCAGACAGGAGAAGAAGCAGGAGTTCCCAACACAGAATTTTATCATATTTTTGGATTCCCTTATGGGCCAACAGATCCTCAAACAAAACACCTCACATTTTATGAACTAAAACCTTTTTCTGGTAGCCTGGTGCAAAAGGGCCATGCTAGCAGTTGCAGTGGGAATCACAGCCACCCAGAATCAATGCTATTTGAGATGAATGGTTATCTTGACTCAGCCATATACAGTAACAATATAACTAAGCATCTCATTCTGTATTCCAGCAACTCCCCTTGTAATGAAGCTAACCACTGCTGCATCAGCAAAATCTACAATTTCCTGAGAGTGTATCCAGACATCACTCTTAGTATTTACTTTTCTCAGCTCTACCATACTGAGACTGAATTTCCTGCTTCAGCCTGGAACTACGAAGCTCTCGGAGCCTGGCCAGCTTGTGGCCACAGGTCACTTTGAGTCCAATAACTGGTGGGATTTGGCATTCACTCCTCAACAACTCTGTTAGTGGTGTCTCAGGATCTACTGTTTTGCAGCCCATTTTAAGTGGGAGAGCACTGGCTGACAGGCACAACGCATATGAAATCAATGCCATAACAGGAGTGAAACCTTACTTCAGTGATGTCCTTCCCCAGACAAAAGACAACCAGGACCTAAGAGCTCAGGCAGCTTTAGAGAGCAACCCCTCAAACAATGTCTTTCCTGGACAGTCTTTTCAAGTGACGAGTGGACAACTGCAACCCAACCTAACTCCAGACCTCAGGGTTCCTGTGGTTTTTGTGTTAGTGCCTTTCAGAGACCTACCACCAGTCCATGTGGGTCAAACCCCAAATAAACCCAGGAATGTAGTAAGGCACTTAAACATGCCTCAAATGTCATTCCAGGAAACCAAGGACCTCAGAAGGCCTCCCACTGGAAGGCCAGAGGAGATAGTGGAAATCACAGAACAGTTTACAAGGAGCAAAGAGGCAGATGAAAAGAAAAAAAAAACAAGAAGAAAGGGAAAGAATAAAATCTACATTCCTACAGCATGAAACCAAACAATTACCAGAGGACTTATTAGATAGGCAACAAAAGCTGAAAATTTTCTTTCTTAAGCCTGATCCTAAATGAAGATATATTGATGCACTAAAAGCAAAACATGAATTATTAACCATATCAACTTTTATAAAGCTACACTATTTTTAACATAATCCATAATTTTCCATAAGCAACTTGATCTCTCTCCTTTACTTTGAAAATGAAAATATCAAAATGGAGGCTTTAGTACCTTGCTAATATTTGGTGTGGAAAAGGAATGCCATTATCCTAGTCTACCCACACCATCTTTCCACTAAAAAAGCCTATGGATTAAATAGCTTCCTAAATTGGTTTCAGTATAAAAATTGACTGTAAAATTGGAAAACAGCCCAAAGTTACTGACATTAAGTGCTGTTTGCAAGAGCAAACCAGTGATTTTCCATTCAATGTTAATTGTGGACAGAAGATTTTAGGTGGTGCATTTTTCTGAAGTGATTTAAAATAGTTTTGTGGGGGGGAAAAGCCCTTCTGCTAATTGATTACATATAGCTACAAAAATTGATTTTTGAAACTTAACCACCTG